CCCATCTATTTGCTGCTTACAAGAAACACATCTTTCCAACAAAGATGCGTGCGGACTGAAAGTGAAGGAGGGAAAGAGATATTCCACGCCAATATAAACCAAAAGAGAGCTGGCATAGCCAAATTAATATCAGACAAAATAAACTTTAACACAAAAACTATTGAGAGAGACAAAAAGGGGCACTATATAATGATTAAGGGTTCAATTCAACAGGAAGATATAACTATTATCAATGTATATGCACCTAATTACAGGGCACCGGTTTATTTAAAAGATATGTTAACGGACTTAAAGGGAAACTTAGATTCCAATACAATAGTACTAGAGGACTTCAATACCCCACTCTCAGAAATAGATCAACCGGACAGAAGATCAACAAGGAAACAGCAGAGTTAATCAACACTATAACCCAAATGGATCTAACAGATATCTACAGAACTTTCAATCCCACATTTAAAGAATTTACATTCTTCTCAGCATTGCATGGAATCTATCTAGGATTGGCCACACACTAGGCCATAAAACAAGTCTCAGCAAATTCAAAAGAATTAGAATCATACCATGCAGTTTCTCAGACCACAGCGGAATGAGGCTGGAAATTAGCAACTCAGGAATCCATAGAGCATATACAAACACATGGAGACTGAACAACATGCTGCTGAATGAACACTGGGTCATAGAAGTAATCATAAGAGAAATCAAAAACTTTCTCAAAGTAAATGAGGATAACAACACAACATACCAAAACTTATGGGATGCAGCAAAAGCAGTGTTAAGAGGAAAGTTTATATCAATAGGTGCCTACATCAAGAAAGTGGAAAGGTACCAAATACATGAGTTTTCAATTCATCTCAAGGATCTAGAAAAACTGCTGCAAACCAGACCCAAATCTAGTAGGAGAAGAGAAATAATTAAAATCAGAGAAGAAATCAACAGGATTGAATCCAAAAAATGTTACAAAAGATCAACCAAATGAAGAGCTGGTTTTTTTGAAGAAAAAAAATTGACACACCATTGGCCCAACTAACTAAAAAAAGAAGAGAAAAGAACTACATCAATTAAATCAGAAATGAAAAAGGAACCATAACAACAGACACTACAGAAATAAAAAGAATCATCAGAAATTACTACAAAGAGTTGTATGCCAGCAAACAGGGAAATCTATCAGTAATGGATAGATTCCTGGACACATGCAACCTACCTAAATTGAACCAGGAAGACATCGAAAACCTAAACAGACCCCTAACTGAGTCAGAAATTGAAAAGGTATTAAAATTCCTCCCAACAAAGAAAAGCCCAGGGCCAGATGGATTCACTGCTGAATTCTACCAAACATTTAAAGAAGAACTAACTCCAATTCTTCTCAAACTATTAAGAATAATCATAAGAGAGGAAACCCTCCCAAATTCATTCAATGAATCCAGCATCACCTTAATCCCTAAGCCTGAAAAAGATATAGCAGAGAAAGAAAATTATAGATGCAAGCATAGATGCAAAAATGAACATAGATGCAAAAATCCTCAATAAAATTCTGGCCAATAGAATGCAACAACACATCACAAAGATCATCCACCCAGACCAATTGGGATTTATCCCTGGTAATGCAGGGATGGTTCAATGTTTGCAAATCAATCAATGTGATACACCACATTAACAGACTGCAGAAGAAAACCCATGTGATTATCTCAATAGATGCAGAGAAAGCATTCAATAACATACAACACCCTTTCATGATGAAAACTCTAAGCAAACTGGGTATAGAAGGAACATTCCTCAATACAATCAAAGCAATTTATGAAAAACCCACGGCCAGCATCCTATTGCATGGGGAAAAGTTGGAAGCATTTCCACTGAGATCTGGTACCAGACAGGGATGCCCACTCTCACCACTGCTATTCAACATAGTTCTGGAAGTTTTAGCCAGAGCCATTAGGCAAGAAAAAGTAATTAAAGGAATACAAATTGGGAAGGAAGAACTCAAACTATCCCTGTTTGCAGATGATATGATTCATAACTTAGGGGATCCAAAGAACTCTACTAAGAGACTATTAGAATTCATAGAAGAGTTTGGCAAAGTAGCAGGATATAAAATCAATGCATAAAAATCAACAGCCTTTGTATACACAGGCAATGCCACAGCTGAGAAAGAACAGCTAAGATCAATCCCATTCACAATAGCTACAAAAACAATCAAATACCTTGGAATAAACTTAACCAAGGATGTTAAAGATCTCTACGATGAGAATTACAAAATCTTAAAGAAAGAAATAAAAGAGGATACCAAAAAATGGAAAAATCTTCCATGCTCATGGATTGGAAGAATCAATATCATCAAAATGTCCATTCTCCCAAAAGCAATTTATAGATTCAATGTGATACCAACCAAAATACCAAAGACCTTCTTCTCAGATCTAGAAAAAAATGATGCTGAAATTCATATGGAGGCACAAGAGACCTCCAATAGCTAAAGCAATCTTACACAACAAAAAACAAAGCCAGAGGCATCACAATACCAGATGTCAGGACATACTACAGAGCAGTTGTAATCAAAACAGCATGGTACTGGTACAGAAACAGATGGATAGACCAATGAAACAGAATAGAAACTCCAGAAATCAACCCAAACATCTACAGCCAACTTATATTTGATCAAGGATCTAAAACCAATCCCTGGAGCAAGGACAGTCTATTCCATAAATGGTGCTGAGAAAACTGGATTCCCACATGTAGAAACATGAAACAAGACCCCTACCTTACACCTTACACAAAAATCCACTCAACACGGATTAAAGATCTAAATCTATGACCCGACACCATCAAATTATTAGAGAGCATTGGAGAAACCCTGCAAGCTATAGGCAGAGGCAAAGACTTCTTGGTAAAGACCTCAGAGGCACAGGCAGTCAAAGCCAAAATTTACATTTGGGATTGCATCCAATTGAGAGGTTTCTGTACTGCAAAAGAAATAGTCAGGAAAGTGAAGATACAACCAACAGAATGGGAAAAAATATTTGCAAGCTATGCAACTGATAAAGGACTAATAACCAGAATCTACAAAGAGATCAAGAAACTCCACAATGACAAAACCAACAACCCACTTAAGAGATGGGCCAAGGATCTCAATAGACATTTTTCAAAAGAGGAAATCCAAATGGCCAACAAACACATGAAAAAGTGTTCAAGATCACTAGCAATCAGGGAAATGCAAATCAAAACCACAATGAGGTTTCACCTCACCCCGGTTAGAATGGCTCACATGCAGAAATCTACCAACAACAGATGCTGGCGAGGATGTGGGGAAAAAGGGACACTAACCCACTGTTGGTGGGAATGCAAACTGGTCAAACCACTATGGAAGTCAGTCTGGAGATTCCTCAGAAACCTGAAGATAACCCTACCGTTCGACCCAGCCATCCCACTCCTTGGAATTTACCCAAAGGAGTTTAAATTGGCAAACAAAAAAGCGGTCTGCAGCCTAATGTTTATTGCAGCTCAATTCACAATAGCTAAGACCGGGAATCAACCCAAATGCCCATCAACAGTAGAATGGATAAAAAAATTATGGGACATGTACTCTATAGAATACTATACAGCAGTAAAAAAACAAACAAACAAAAAAAACAATGAAATCCGCTCATTTGCTACAACATGGAGGAATTTGGAAAACATCATGCTGAGTGAAATAAGCCAGTCCAAAGGGAAAAAATTATATGTTCTTCCTGATCAGTGGCAACTAACCGAGCACCAAAAAGAAACCTATTGAAGTGAATTGGACACTATGAGAAACAGTGACTTGTTCAGCCCTTGTCCTGTTGATGTACAACTTAATACTTTATCCCTTTTAGTATTTTTTGTTCTACTTAATACTATTGGTTGAACTCTGTAATTAACACACAGTTATTCTTAGCTGTTTAAATTTAACTGAAAAGTGATCTCTGTTAAATATAAGAGTGGGAATAAGAGAGGGAGAAGATGTACTGTATTGGACAATTCAATCTGAATTGCCCAAAATGGTAGAGTTAGCAATGTGCCAGGGGATTCCAATTCAATCCCATCAAGGTGGCATGTACCAATGCCATCTCCCTGGTCACAGTGATCAATTTCAGTTCACAATTGATCACACTGATAGGTCTAAGAGTCAAATGGATCACATAAACAAGACTAGTGTCTGCTAATACTAACTGATAGATTTAAGAAGGAGAGAATGATCCAACATGGGAAGGGGGGTACACAGCAGGCTCATAGAATGGTGGATGTCCTAAACAGCACTCTGGCCTCAGAATCAGCCCTTAAGGCATTCAGATCTGGCTGAAGAGTCCATCAGAGTATTTTAGGCATGGAAAGCCAAGACACTCTGGCAAAAAATAAAAATAAAAATAAAAAAAGACCTAAATGAAAGATCTCTGCGTGTGAGATCCCAGTGGGAAGAACAGGCCATCAAGGAAGGAGGTACCTTTCTCTTAACTGAGGAGAGAACTTCCACTTTGACTATGACCTTATCTAAATACCATCGGAGTCTGAACTCAAAAGGCTTCCATAGCCTTGACAACTCATGGCAAGAGCCTAGGGAGATTACTGACACCATAAACAAGAGTGTCAAATTGTTAAATCAACAACAGGAGTCACTGTGCACTTACTCCTCATGTAGGATCTCTGTCCTTAATGTGTTGTACTATGTGATTTAATGGTATAACTAGTACTCAAACAGTATTTTTCACTTTGTGTTTCTGTGTGGTGCAAACTGATGAAATCTTTACTTAATATATACTAAATCGATCTTCTGTATATAAAGAGAATTGAAAATGAATCTTGATGTGAATGGAATGGGAGAGGGAGTGGGAGATTTGAGGGTTGTGGGTGGCAGGGATGTTATGGGGGGGGGGAGCCGCTGTAATCCATAAGCTGTACTTTGTAAATTTATATTTACTAAATAAAAGTTAAAAAAAAAGTTACCAAGGAGCCATTAAAAATTTTGTGAGTTTTCAGGAAAATCAACAGAATGTTTCCTAGAAATTTAAATGACCAGGTCTTTGAAACCCACAGACAGAGGCCAGTCCAAATGTCAAGACTCCCATCATTCAAATTGCCCTGCACATGAAAATCCTCACTGTGAGCCATTAGCTATTGTTTGCCACCCAATGCAGAAAATTTCTAAATTTACATTATCTAAACAAATAGCTCTGAATTACCTGAATGTTCCTTGAGAGCTAAGGAATGAATTCCAAGTCAGAGAGATTTCCTCTCCACAAGACAACGAAGAGTATTTCTCTTCCATATATTCTTTAAAAGGTATTTTTGAACCTAAATATTGAGAACTTGGTTTAAAATTCCAAGCAAACTAGGTAAATAAAACCTGCTAGCAATACTATTCTTAAACAAAACCACTGAGAGGTACCATAGGAAGCAAGCATTTTTAGAAATTTTCGTATCTGTTAGAAATTCATCCTGAAGAGTAATACTTTTTTTAAACACTGTAATCGATTATCATAGTCCAGTTCAGGTCTGAGGCATCAACTGCAGATGAGTAAGCAAATCAGGTGTCAGTTCTCTCAGTTCACTTCTCTCTCCTCTAGGCAGAGATCGAATGCAGGTAGGGTGCTGGTCGGTTTCCCTTGTGAGACCAGACTTCACCAGTTTTACACTGACTACCTACCAGGTGCTTCTGAGACTAAGAAGTAAGAAACAGGTAGTCCACAGTTACCCGTGAAAGATGTCCTCTTCGGGGAAATCTCAGGAAGATAAATCTGTGATACATAAGTAGTATTTATACAGCTCTTGGTCTCTAGAACAACACACAATAACAACGAATTGATCCAAGTGGTACAGAGGCCTACAGGGGAAAGGTTGTTTGGAGGGTGGGGGTGGGGGGCGGGCTTCGGAATCGGTGAGAAAGCAGCGCGGATTAGCGCTTTGGTCGCTTAAAGAGCCGGTTGCGGTGCGCTCCAGTGCAAAAGCCAAGCTCTGAGAAGCTCAACGCTGTGCGCCTGGTTCCTGCAGGGGGCGCCGAAGCAGCGCGCCCGGGGACTCCTCCGGGCTCTCAGTCCTTCCTGCGCTGGGCTAGCAGGGTCCCCGCTGGGTCTGACAGTCATGGAACGCTTTCAGGTGCGATCAAGTGTAGGAAAGGAGAAAGACAATGCAAGAAGGGACTGGAACAGCCAGGCTCCTGCCTGTTCCAGACCATCCCACGCCTCCTCCGCTACACGGGAGACACACACACACACACACACACACGACTCCCACCTCCTGCGGTCTTCCCCAGTCGAGGAGGCCCTTTGTCCCCGGCAGCTGTTCCTGCGCGCTCCACAAGGCAGGGCGCATCTCAGAGGAGCGGGTGCAGGCGAAAACTGGGGCGCCCTGGCCCAGGGTCTGGAACGCGCAGAGAAGGACTAGGGGACCAGCCCTTTCTGTTCTTCTGCTGCAGCAAGGGCACAGACAGCGGTTTCCTAAAGCAGAGAAACAAAACGCAAGCGCAAGCGGGGTGCAGTCGCCTGGGATCCCGCGCGGCGTCGCCAGGTGTTCCCCAGGATGGCGCGGAGGATTCCCGCTAGAGCAGCGTTAACGAACAACCAGCTCCCGGAGCATGGTGCAGGGGCTGGAGGTTAGAAGGGGGCAGCTCCCAGCAATACTGCCCTCCTCTTCTACCGTTTGTGCGAAGTTCGAGGGTCAACTCCTCTCTTCGCCTTTAGGGAGCAGTCGATATGGCTTTCTCAGCCACCGAGGTTCTCACACTCGGCTTCTCCTGGAAGGGCTGGCAAACCCAAGCTGAGGGCGCAACCACAGCTGGGGCTAGGGTAGGGCCCAGGCATCCGCATCCCCATTAAGTTTCCCCGGGACACCAAAGCTGTCTTTCCGGGACCACACTGGAGTGCCGCTAGTGTCCATTCTCCCTGCGCTGGTCCTGGCTCGGGGTCCTGTTCGGGACAGCGCGCACCCGGGTGTCAGGCCTCTGCCCTGCACACTATCACCTGGTGAAGGCTCTTGCGGAAGCTGTCGTCCAAGAACGCATAGAGGAAGGGATTGAGGCAGCTGTTGGCGTAGCTCAGGCTGGTGATAAAGTAGGAGATGGCGATGACGAGCGGCGTCTGTGGAACGTCAGTGGTGAGGACCACCACGGTGCTCAGGTGGTAGGGCGTCCAGCAGAGCAGGCAAACGGCCAAGATCGCCACTACCAGGAAGGTCACCCGCTTCTTGGCGCGGTCCAGAGCCTTGCCATGGTTATCCAGCCGCATGGCGTGCAACCGGCACAGGAGCGTGGTGTAGAGGGCGCAGATGGTGGACACCGGGATGGCGAAGCCCAGCACGAGCGTATAGAGACGGCTGGCCCGCCACCAGAATGCCTCGGGCTGCGGGAAGACCAGCACGCACTGGCGCCGGCCCTGCTCCTCGTCGAGGCGGGCGAAGACGGCGAAGGGCAGCACGACCAGCGTGACCAGCGCCCACACGGCCAGGCTCACGGCTCGCGCGGCGCCGTAGGTGCGGCCAGCCACCCGGCGCGACTCGGCGGTGGCCAGCACCACCAAGTAGCGGTCGGCGCTCATGACGGTGAGGAAGTAGAGGCTGGAAAAGGTGTTGTACTGGTCGATGGCCACGATGAGCTTGCACATGAGCTCGCCGAATGGCCACCGGCGCAGCAGGAAGTCTGCGATGTTGATGGGCAGCACCAGCGTGAAGAGCTCGTCGGCGATGGCCAGGTTGAGGATGAACAGGTTGGTGACCGTCTTCATGCGCGGCGTCCGCAGCAGCACGTACAGCACCGCTGAGTTGCCCACCAGCCCCACAGCGCAGATCACGGCGTAGACAACCGGCACCGCCACAGCCAGCGGCAGCGGCAAAGGCTCTGGGGTCGTCGCGTTTGCGGACTCGGGCTCCGTGAGCGACGCGTTCTGCATGTCGGCAAGGATGGAGGAACCCGCCTCCCGTGTCCCCTACGGCTCTCCGCGGGGCTGAGCGATCCAAAAAACCCGCTTCCCCGCGGACCTGCTCCCGGGCACTCGCCGCTGTGCTCCAAGCCGGTCTCTGGCTTTCTAGGGGAGGGGTGTTCCCGGCTCCCCCACAGCCCACTGGTCGCCGCTGACTCCCGGGGCTGTAAAACGGTATTGAAAGCACGAGTTAGGCTCGTTGACCGGTAGCATCAGGGAGGGGCGTGGTCCCGGAGGTGGTGGGGGTGGCACTCCAAACCTCCCCCAAGTGAGCGCTATCTGCTACCTGTTGAAATCTCGTTCCAACCAATGGATCTAAGTGCTAGAGAGAGGAGTTCTTAGCCTTTATAGGAAAAATACAAATCCACCTCCCCTGTTCTAGGACACCCAATGGAAGACCATGAGGATCAGCCCACGGAAATCGACAGAGGTATGCTTCGGTCCCTTTGGGTTCCATGCGCGCGATAACAGCAAGCGCAACAGTAATCTTTAGCTTACCTTGTCGGCCTGGAACGGAAAGGATCCTGCCGGCGGTGGAGGAGGCTGCCTCGTCACCACCTAGGGTCTGCCTCCTAGCTCCCGCCAGGAGACTGCGGCTGGGGCCTGAGCCTGTTCCTCCCGCGAGTCTCAAAGTGCGGGGATGCGCAGCCGCTGACTGCACTCGCTGTGCCGACCCCCACCCCACCCCCTCCTCACTCCGAGCCAGGGGCCTTGGAACAACAGACAATAGCATTCCTCAAAAGTAAGGTATTCTCTTCCTTCCAGGAGTGTAACCATTTGAAATAATAATAATTAAAAAAAAAACCTTCTATAAAGAATTGAATTTAAGGAAAACAAAGTTAAAGTGTTGCTAATCTATTTTGAAAGAGCAATGTAGTCGAGGGTCCTATTCCAGTTCTTAAACACTATACCTCAAATGCACTGTTGGGATTCGGAATTTCATGCAAACTATTTTTCTCTATAGAAGGGGAAAAAATGAAGCCAATTTTAGAATGCAAATCATCGCTTTCTAATACTCTGGGCTTCACATGGGTAGAAAATTTTTAGTGTACAACAACGGCCAACAATTTGAAATGCTTTTAAAAATATATGCAAAGAGAGAGGGTTAATAAAGACAAATAACTTCTGAAATTCTTTTAAGGGACCATGATTTAATGTATGTTTCATAAAATGTTGCACATTGTTCAGCTCTGTCTCCTGACTCATACATTCAATCCGGATTCTCCTGCTAATGAGGCCCCTTCAGCTGCAGGAGCTGTTGCCACCTAAGGCAGAAAGCAGGGGCAGACTTGCACTCCGAGGATGCTATGCCCCTGGGCCTAGGAGTCTTCTTCCAGAAGGGGGAGTCATCTAAGGCAGCTCACCAGATTTTTTTTAGGACTGAATGAAACAAAATAAATATTGGTTCTCTCCAATTCCTATATTTTCCCTCCTCCACCTTCCCTTTAGAAGAACCATCAAACTGAAAGACCGAATTCTGTGATCTCATAAGCCACCTTCCAGAAAAGCAGGCAAAGCACAAACAACAAGCATTTGCTCTCCTTTCTGATGCATTTTGGAGTACAGGTTCTGAGATATTCAGAAATGAATAAATAAATAAGCCTGTGGATGAAGCCTGCAGAGACAGAAATATAGTTGCCATCCTTTGCCCACTCCTCTTTTCATTTTTTCTATCACTATTTACATAGACCTGGCTCCTCTGCAGCATCAAGATTTGTGTGAAGAAAAATGGTAGTACCTTCACCAGCTAGGTCACTAAGGAACACTATATGAGAAAAAACCATATGGTGTTAGGTGAAACAAGGAAGGTTATAAACCTATGATATATATATACACACAAATAATTTACATATACATAATCTATATAGAATTAACTCACCCATACACTGTGCATGTATAATTGTGTATATATGTACATATTTGTATTTGGTAGATAATTGATCATTTTCACACACTTGGAGATCTTCTAGCTTTCTCATTGTTGATTTCCAGCTTTAATTACACTGTGGATAGAGAACATTATATGATTTTGACTCATAGCCATGTGTTGAAACTACTGCCCAGTAGTTATTTTACTAATTATTTCTCATGTACTTGAAATTAATGTGGTCTGTATTTAAGTGCAACACTCTATGTCAGCTAATCAAGTTTATTATTATGTTGTTCAAATATTCTCTCTATTCATATTTTATCTAATTTTATAAGCTACTGAACAAGGTGTGCTTAAAAAAATCTCAATCCATGATTGTGGATTTAAATATGCTTTATTTCCAACCATTTTTACTATATAATTTGATACTGCCTTATTGGATACACACACATTTAAAATTGCTGTGTTTTCCCAGGGAATGGATTCTTTTATCATTATAACTTGATTGCCTGTTATCATTGTAATCTTCTTACTCAGTTCCTAATCTTAGTGTATGTAGACTCTTTTGTTGGATATCATGACAGCTACACTAACTGTATTCCCAATTGTATTATAATGGAATATAATTTTTAAAAGTCATTTTACTTTAAATTTTCTTAGGTTCATATAATTAAAATATTATAAAGTGTAGTCAGATTCACTCTGGCAATATTTGTCTTTGAATTAGAATATTTATTTATTGTTATATTAATGTAGTTACATATTAGGTTTGATAGGGTCTGAATGTTTGTGTTCCCATGAACTTCATAAATAGATACTCTGACTTACAATGGTTAGATTTAGATTTTTCAACTTTACAATGGTGCAAAAGCAATATGCCTGCAGTAGAAACTATACTTCAAAGGATTGACCTTTTCCTGGACTAGCAATATGCAGTACAATATCATTTCATGATGTTAGGCATCAACAACCAGAATAAATTCAAATCAGCCCTGAGGTCCTGAGGAAAACAACTGGTACACCACGGTATACTGCTTTCCTTGTTTGCAGTGTTGTGTAGGTTCAACTCAACAATGGATTTATCAGGAGCTAATTGCATTGAAATCTAATTTCTACTCTGATGGCATATGACATTAGGGCCTTTGGGAAGTGATTAAGTAATGAGGGTGAATATTCTTGAATGGGATTAGTGACTTATAGCAGAGGGCCCATGAGGATGGCATTGTGGTGCAATGGATTAATCTCCCTTTTGGGACACCAGCAAGAGTTCCTCTTGGAGTCTCAGCTACTCTGCTTCTGATCCAGCTTCCCACTAATTGCCTGGGAAAGCAGCAGATGAAGACTTAAATACTTGTGACCCTGCTACCCACATGGGAGTTCTCTCTTTTTGTCTGTATCTCTCTGTGTGTATCTCTTTAGTAAATAAATAAATAATTGAAAAATATTTTTGAAAGAAGATGGTTGTCTAGGAAGCACGCCCTCACTAGACTCCAAATTTTCTTTTTTTTTTAAAAAAGATTTTATTTATTTATTTGAGAGGTAAAGTTACAGATAGTGAGAGGGAGAGACAGAGAGAAAGGTTTTCCTTCCATTGGTTCACTCCCCAAATGGCCACAACAGCCAGAGCTTCGCCAATTTGAAGCCAGGAGCCAGGTGCTTCTCCCTGGTCTCCCATGCGGGTACAGGGGCCCAAGCACTTGGGCCATCTTCCACTGCTATGCCAGGCCATAGCAGAGAGCTGGACTGGAAGAGGAGCAGCCGGGACTGGAACCGGTGCCCATAAGGGATGCCAGCGAAGTAGGCAGAGGATTAACCCAGTGCACCACGGTGCTGGCCCCTCCAAATTTTCTTAACTTGGGCTTCCAGCCTCCAGAATTCTGAATAATAATTTCCTGCTGCTTTATAAGCCATTCAGTTTATGGTATTTTACTATAGCATAACAACAACAACAAAAAGACTGAAATAGAAAACTGATACCCAGACATGATGTGTTCCTCTAACAATCACTTAAAAATGTGGCGGTCGGTGCCGCGGCTCAATAGGCTAATCCTCCACCTAGTGGTGCTGGCACACCGGGTTCTGGTCCCAGTCGAGGCGCCGGATTCTTTCCCAGTCGCCCCTTTTCCAGGCCAGCTCTCTGCTGTGGCCCAGGAAGGCAGTGGAGGATGGCCCAAGTCTTTGGGCCCTGCACCCCATGGGAGACCAGGAGAAGCACCTGGCTCCTGCCATCAGATCAGCGCGGTGCGCTGGCCGCAGCGCCCTGACCGTGGCGGCCATTAGAGGGTGAACCAATGGCAAAAGGAAGACCTTTCTCTCTCTCTCTCTCTCTCTCTCTCTCTCTCACTATCCACTCTGTCTGTCAAAAAAAAAAAAAAAAAGACATTTAAAAAAAAATGTGGAAGTGGCCTTGGAAGTAGAAGTTGGGTAAAGGCTGGAAGAATTCTTGAGGTCATGCTGGAAAAAAAAAAACCTACAGTGTTATGAATGGGCCTTTAAAGGCAGTTCTGGTGAGGGCTCAGAAAGGAAAGATGGGAGATGTAGAGAAAGCCTTCAGCTTCTAAGTGATTACCTAAGTAATCACCAACAGAATGTTGGTAGAAATATAAATAGTGAAGACCATTCTGGTGAGTTCTCAGAAATGAGGAACATGCTGTTGGAAGCTGGATTGAAGGCATTCCTTGTTATAAAGTGGCAGAGAACTTCATTGCATTGTGTTCATGTCCTAGTGTTTTGTAGTAGAACTTGTGAGTGATGAAATTAGATATTTTGAGGAAAATGTGAACAAAATGTTGACAGAGCAATTTGGTTCTCCTGATGGTTTGTAGCAACATTTGAGAAGAGAGAAATGCCTATGACTTAAACGTAGAATTGTTCATCAAAAAAGAAAACTGAAAGAGTTGGAAAATTATCAGCCTATCCACATTGAGAAAGAACAGAATGGATGTGACCCAAACAACCCCAGTGCCTGAAAACTGAATTAGTCAGCCACCTAAACACACCAGGACCTATTGTCCATGGCCATGCAAGAAGGCAATTCAAAAATCAGCAGGACTGTCCTCATTATCACAGGCCCAGAAAGAAAAGGTCCCAGCAAACAGGGATCTACCACAGAGGCTGCCTGTTATGACACTGTCTTACAGAGCTGTAGAGGAGTGGCTGT